GTTCCTCTCCTTCAGGGAACAGAAGTTATAGACATAACTAATCGGTTCTCGTTTTGAGGACATCTGTTTACAAAATCACAATGTGTGTGATGACTTCATTGAAAGATCAAGAAGAAATCCCCCTTCACTTTAACGCTAGTCAAGAGTTTGGGGGTAAATCACTAATGCTATATCCTCTGAGGTGATGGAAACACGGTTGTGTGTGGCTGTGTGTGTGTGTTGATCTCGCTCACATGGCATAACAACTGACAGCGACGACCACAGGTGACAGACAGACAGCGGGGGGATTATTTAGTCTGCAGCACTTGTGTTTACTGCTACTCATTCAGCTCACGTCAGTAGTCCGCTGGAGTAATAGCTGCGTATTAACACACCGTAGGACGTGTCTGCGGACTGTCATGTATGGGGTACACCCCAAAAGTGCCGCTATTAGAGCGCACACTTCAATGAACAAATTGTACAAGTCTCAGGTCTAGTAGAGAAAAAACTGATGTCGTGGCTATAGACGAAAAACCGCGTATTTCTATGTAACTGAACCCCGGTGCTTATAAACTTCGACTGGCACCGTGTAGCAGTCAACGTTTGACTTTCAATGCGCTTTGCTTACCTTTTGGGACCAGGCCGTTAGATCCACTCAGACTAGATACCCAACTTCTCGAGCCTGGTGATGTGGTGCGGTGTTGGCGGAGTTGCCCTTCTCCACGACACCGCAACTTTTTAACAGCTACGCGTCCCACAGCCTCGGAGCTGTGCGCCGAGTCATTATTTCCTAGAAGAGCTGTGTGGTTTTGTTTGCGAAAGGCATTAAAACATGTTGACACGCAAGAAGCGGTCCGGCTGTGGTCCTCTGCGGGTGTCGATGTAATCAGCTGTCATCACATTAGCCACGAGAAGAGCCGAGCTGCTCTGCGCCTCTCCTCTCCATGCTTACACACTTTCAACGCCACCCACTTTTCCCGAACAGACCCGCGGCTGGCTCGGCTGATGCCTGACTGAAAAGATTTGAGCAACCTGGCTACTTTTACTCTAGCTTTATATGAAGTTTTTCAAAAGTAGTGTTAGAAGAGTATGTATGTGTGCACTGTTATTTATTCAAAAACGAATAGATTAGTATATACGTGATAACTACTGGGGCCTGTTTCAGTGCAGAAGCCCATTAGCTTACGTTATGCTATCGCATACACATCTTGATATTTTTACTCCTAAAATCAGCTAAAGTAGCTTGGCATGACTCATATTTCAAATATTTATAATTTAGCAGCCCCTAGGTTAATCCACTGTATAAAGCAACCTTAGAAACTTGGCTTAAAATGGTGCTTTTAGGCCAAGTTTCTTGTGATTGGTTACTCTTCCAAAACAGAAGGTTTAAACAGTACATGGGTGCAGCTGGTTATTCGCTGTCTTTGACATCATATAGGAGAAAAAAATTGCAGGAAACTCAATGTTTGAGGAGCCTGAATATTCTAACTTCATGATCCGAAATTTGGGGCCTTTTTATCATTTGCATCCAGTATTGTATTTTATTACTCTCTATATGTCTCTAGATCACTGAAAATTACTTCGACCTGGGCCATTTTTACATATGACACATTATTATTAGACAAGAACAGAGAGCATCCAGTTTTGTTCTGTTTTTTCAGTTATCAGTCAACTGGCTGATTACAGTTTTTCAAATGTAATCCACTAGAGTGGCTCTCTAAATTTTAAAATCTTTAATTCTGTTTAATTTCAGGGTCTTCTTGGACTAGCATAGTCAATATTTTTGTAAACCATGTATCCAAACGTTAGAATTTGCTGCTTAACCTAGTCATTTTAATCAGCTTTAATAATACAGTCACATGTTGCTTGTAGAAGCCCTTTGAGAGACAGAACAAACCCGTTTACAAGCAGGGAATAAATATATACCAATGCTTTCTCGGTTCTTCAGTCTCATTCCACCACAGGTCAGCACTCGTTTGTACTGTGACGTTGACCCAAACCAAAAAAAAAAAAAAAAAAGTGTTCACAGCAGTTTTAGGAAGTAACATCATCCCCAAGTTTGGAACTTGTGAGTTTCCGTCTTTCTTTATTTGGTGACCGCACAAGTCATTTGACTGAAATTAATCCTGACTGTTGAGATTTTTTTCTTTAATGTGGTAAGTGTTTTGGGACTAGAAGTAAATATAAAGAAGAAGAATTTTGTTTAATACAGCTTTCTGACACCCAGCAGGAAGGTGTCACTAGTATCCTCTTATGTGGCTGTCTTCTCAAACTGCAGCTCTTTCATTTGGAGTCATTAGGACGCTGAAATCTTTTTTTAGAGACAGAAAATCATAGTGGCCGCATGAGCAGTTATATGTTGGGTAGATCTTTTCGCAGCCATGGTGTTGTGGTGTGAAATCAGTTTTTGCTGCCTCTGCAGTAATAACAGCTTCCTCATATGTGATCTTGTATATGCAGAACAATGGGAGGAAACAGTCAGTTGGATGCTTTAGCTTTGAGCAGAGGACACGGAAAAGGAAAAGATACAGGACCGGACACTGTCGCCTACATTGAAATGGACTTAAACCAGCATAAACAGAAATGCTTACAGTTTTTGTTTATGCTGGTTTATTAAAAAGCACTATCACTGTGTTGGAACCCCTTTTGTGATCAGCATTGCTTTCATTTTTCATGGCAAAGATTCAACAAAATGTTTTGGAAAATTCTTCAGAGATTTTGGTTCATATTGATGTGATAGCATCACACGGTTGCTGTATGTGTGTCGGCTGCACATCCATGATGTGAATCTCCCATACACCACATCCCAAATGTGCTCTTTTGGCCTGAGATCTGGTGAGTACGCTGAACTCACTTTCTTCTTGCCATATTTTGTTTCTTGTCTTATTCAAGAAACCAGTTTGATCATACAGGAATGGACATCATCATCAACAATACTCAGGTGGACTGTGTTGTTTAAACAATGCTCATTTGGTGCTAATGGATCCAAAGCATACCAGAAAAATATCCCCAACACCATTACACCACTACCAGCAGCCTAAACTGTTGATACAAGACAGGATGGATCCATGCTTCCATGATGTTTACCTCAAGAATCATCACGTCAGACCAACTGTGGTGAGGAAATTTGCATCTTATCCTCATTTTCCTGTTTTTAGCCCACAGGAGTGGATGCCTATAGTTTTCTGCTGCTGTAGGCCATCTGGCCTTCTGAAAACCTTCTTTTGTAATGACTTGTAATTTGAGTTACTGTTGCCTTTCTATCAGGTCAAAGCAGTCTGGCCATAGTCCTCTGACATGAAATTTAATTCAACTTTTTAAAAACCAGTTTTATTTATATAATGCCAAATCCCAACAACAGTTGCCTCAAGGCACTTTATATTGTAAGGTAAAGACCCTATGATAAGACAAAGAAAATGGAGAAAAACAAAGAAAACCCCTATGACCCCCAGGAGCAAGTGCTTTGGTGACAGTGGGAAGAAAAAACTCCCTTTTAACAGGAAGAAACCTCCAGCAGAACCAGGCTCAGGGAGGGGCAGCCATCTGCTGCGACCAGTTGGGGGTGAGCAGATGAAAATAGGACAAAGGCATGCTGTGGAAGAGAGCCAGAGATGAATAATAACTAATAATTTAATGCAGAGAAGTGTATACAGACATAGTGAGTAAAAAAGGTGACTGAAGAAGAAACACTCAATGCATCATGGGAATGCAGCAGCCTACACCTATCGCAGCATAACTAAGGAAGGACAGGGTCACCTGATCCAACCATAACTATATGCAAGCCTAATCTTAAAGAGTGTCTGTCTGCTGAATCCAAACTAGAAGCTGATTCCACAAAAGATGGCCTGAAAGCTGAAGGCTCTGCCTCCCATTGTACTTTTAAACACTCTCGGAACCACAAGTAAGCCTGCAGTCTGAAAGTGAAGAGCTCTAATGGGGTGATACCGTACTATCATGTCATTAAGATAAGATAGCATCTGACTATTCAAGACCTTGTATGTGAGGAACAGGATTTTAAATTAAATTCTGAATTTAACAGGAAGCCAATATGAGAGAAAAGCTTTCTGTCTTTTAATCTCTGTCAGTACTCTGTTAAATCACCTTTCAGCTGGTTGTGCTATCTACATGCATAAATGCACAGAGTTGCTGCCATGTGATTAGCTGATGGATTGACTGTCTCCATCATCCTGACTCATTGAATGTGGATAAATCAGTGTGGGAGATGCCTGGACTGCTGGTGGGCTTCATTGACGCCACATTTAACCAGTCTACACAAGTGCAACCCCACGTGCACGCACACAAATGCATACTACAGCTGGGAACACTCCAGATCATCAACCACTTATGAATCGCCAGCTTTGTTTCTTTTCACAGTAGCCACTTTCATCCAAGGGCAAAATGTGGGTCTATTGTTGTCTTTCAATATTTTCCTGCCAGTTAAGCGTCACTACAATGGTTTGTGTGAAGAGAATACACTGGCTGTCACACAATCATCCGATTGTGTTGCCTCTGAGAAACATGAGCTATGATGGTTGACTGGCCAAAAGAAAAGTTATTGTAGTTACCAGACTGATCCCTGAACTGATGTCAGTAAGGATGAATTAATGACTATTATGATTCAATTTTGCCATAACAAAAGCTTTAATGTCACATGATAATCTCAAGCAGGCAATAGTCATTTTTTGACTTCAGGATTACTGTGCAGTCGTGTGATGCAAGCACCATTTCATTTTTCTCTCTTCAGAAAATAAAAAGGGGAAATATCTGTTTTTTATTAAAACACTCTTATTGAAGTTGGGTGATGAAATTTAACACATCAACTAAATCTACAAAGAACAGAAGAGATCAGAAGCTAAACACAAAGAAACATACGGATATGTGCGATTCTCTGTGCATTATCACTTACAAAATTTGTTGCTGAATTACAGTAATCTACTGTTTTTACTTTGTATTTAACTATTTATGGATTTCCTCATGTGTTTCTGTGGAAAGTCGGGGTCATAAATTCACAGAATGCCTGGTGAAGTACGCTTTTCCGCTTTCCTGTTTGTCAGAGAGAGGCTGTTGTGCTTGTTATGGAAATGACACAGAAAGGCAGATATCTGGAGCAGATAGATACACACACACACACACACACACACACACACACACACACTGAAAAGGTCAATTGTTAACAGCAAAAAAGAATTGAAGGTGACTTTTAGGCCCGCATAATAGATCCAGAGAAGCTGTCGAACCATAAATCATAAATCATACATAGTTTCACTTTAGTTTCAACCTGCCTGAGGGAAACCTGTTGAAAGAGCAGGTTTGAGACTCCAGTTTGAAAAACACGTTTAGAGGTTTGATCTCTGGTCAACAAAACATATCATAAAATTACACAGCAATTTTTTGCCTACAAAATGTTATCATGAAATATGATGTCAGTGACGTTTATGTTTCCACCTAACGGGATCCTTTGCTGCCATCTGCAGGAAGTCGAGGCTCAGTCTTGTGACTTTAGCTTGTTGTGTATCATTTGTTTGAAGCACCACACTGATCAGCAGTTTGTTCATGTGTCTCAAATAGACAAACTTCAGTGAGTTCTTATAGGACCAAATAAATAACAACAAGTCAGCACTATGATATGGCTCTACAACTATCAAAAACTAGTGTCTGAGAGCATCCTGCTGCCATACAAAAGGAAATTGTAACAACATTACATCACAGACATCTCAAATGTACTTATAACAGTGTTGTAATCTGTATGAAGATAAAACCCAAACATCTAAGCCACTAACTCTAAAGTGAGGGGATTTAACTTTTTGCCACGGTCCACATAAAGGCAGGAATAATTTTAGGTTATTCTTATTATTAAGTTATTCTGAGGGACCATCATTACCCTGTAAGGAAACATTACTGTGCTGAGGGGATCGGTGTCTTTTAATGATAACAAATGGTGGGAACAAATGATGGGAACGAGGGCTCCCTGAATGAAGTTTGAACATGTGCTATGTGCGGTGACATCTGTGGGACAGTTTGGACCCATCTAAATCCCGTGTGAGGGAATATCTTTTGGAGTAAAAAAACAAAGGCGTCCTTTTGTTGAGAAATTCAATTCAACAGAAAGAATATGTAACTATTTGACTAAGTCCTGCGTTGTTTTTTATGCATCAGTGACATCTACTGTATGCACCCTGAAATGCACATTTTCCTATGAGTCCATATATTATTTCCATCACACACAGAAATAGTCCTAAAGAACCCAAATGAATAAATAAAATAAATATAAATAAATATTCATTTAAATAGATTAATCAGCTCTGTTCTTTAGCAAGACTGTATAATAAAACAGAACTATGTGAGAAAGGAAAACAAACATTTTATTTTGAAGAAAAATTTACAGTCTGTTGAGAAGAATTACAAATATAGATAAATAAATGAAGAAATGTGTAAATGTAAAAATATAATAAAAATGGGAATATAAATTGGGTCGTTGACCCAGTGTTTTCAGTTTTGTACCTTTATTTGTGTTCTCGTCTTGGTTTATTACTGTGAAGGTTTTGGTTTCTGTTTTGTATTTTCCCCGGTCCTTCTTGGTTTATGATTTTGTAGTTCTTAAGTTTGGGTTTCCATACTCCCTCTGTTCTGTGTCCAGTCGGTGTCTGTGTCTGCCATGCTCCCACATCTCTGTTCCCTCTGTTGCAGTGTCTGCTTGTGAGTCTGTCTGTAAGTTCAGTCTGTGTTTCCTGTTTTACTTTGAAAGTCCGTATCTCATGTTAATGTGTCTGGTTTGCTTCCTTTGACTTGTCAGCCCTGATTTGCCCCAGCTGTGTTTCCCTCCTGTCTCCCATTCCCTGAGTGCTCCCTCTGTGTATTTAAGTCCTGTGTTTTCATTTGTCTGTGTCATGATCTACCCTCATCTTACTGTGTGTTCTGGCTACCTGTGCGAGTGCCTATTGTCATTTTTGTTACTTTTGAGTTCACATTTTGACTCACTTGACATTGATTTTTTTTGAAAAAGAATTATTACCAAAAAA